TAGAGACGGGGTTTCACCATGTTGACCAGGATGGTCTCGATCTCTTGACCTTGTGATCCACCCGCCTCGGCCTCCCAAAGTGCTGGGATTACAGGCTTGAGCCACCGCGCCCGGCCTCTTGAACTTTTTTTTTTGTTTTTGAGACAGAGTCTCACTCTGTCATGCAGGCTGGAGTACAATGGTGTAATCTTGGCGCACTGCAAACTCCGCCTCCCGGGTTCAGGAGATTCTTCTGCCTCAGCCTCCCAAGAAGCTGGGACTACAGGTGTATGCCACCATGTCCAGCTAGTTTTTTTGTATTTTTAGTAGAGACGGGTTTCACGGTGTTAGCCAGGATGGTCTTGATATCCTGACTTCATCATCCGCCTGCCTTGGCCTCCCAAAGTGCTAGGATTACAGGCGTGAGCCACCACGTCCAGCCTTTCTTCCTCCAACCTTTAGGGGTAGATTTGCATAGACCTCACACACCGTGGGACAGACATGAGGCATGCTGGCCCAGGAGGATAACTTGGAAGAAAGGGCAGAATTCCTGGCACCAGCCCCCCCCAGTGGGCCAGGCAGGGTCTTACCTGAAGCTAGGACGCGCAGGGTCTTGGCCACACCCCCCCAGGGTGCACCCAGTGCCACGAAGGCCCGGATATACTTGTCCTTCCAGGCCTGCGGCTGCCGCTGCAGAAAGTAGAGCGTGTACATGTTGCCCATACTGTGGGCAACCAGCACCACGGGGCCCCCATACAGCTGGTACATCTCCTCGATCATCTCGCGGAGGGCCAGGAAGTAGGGCCCGTTTTCATCTGCAGGCCAGAGCCAGGCAGGGGTCAGGTGGGTAGGGTCCTGGAGCCCAAACCACTGACCTTTTCTCAGGCCAGACCCAAGACTAGAAGGGAGGGAAGGGTGCTCACATTCAAACAGAGTGATCTGGGTCCCCCTGCCTTCCATGAAGGGAGGAAGCCTTATGTTTCTCCCCAGGGCTCAGAGGGCTCAGAGGGCTCAGAGGTCCAGAGGTCCTGGGGTGGGAAATGGAGGACAGGACAAGACTGACCAAGGGTGTTGGCTGTGACCATTGGACTGGATGCCAGAGGCCCAGGGACAGGGAACAGCCAAGGACAAGGGGAGAGCCCAAGGCCTGTGGTGGTCAAGATCACCTCGCCCCTACCTCCCGAGACTTCAGGGAGAGAACGAGAGTGCCTGCTTACTTGGGGCTCGGCGCCAGTCATAGGGGGCTCCTCGGACATCCTCACCCCGTGTGTAGCCCCAGCCCACAAGGCTCTCCACCATGGTGTGGAAATAGGAACCTGCAGACAGAAATATAGAGGATTAAAAAAAGATACAGCTAGTGCCAGCCACCTCACTATGCTCAGCACAGAGACTGTGACAGCTAGTGGGTCCCTGGAGGAATAATACAGGGCTCTGTGCCCACACTGATCAGAGACAGCTCACAGGCTGTCCCTACAAACAGCAGAGTTTCTCCAGCTCCAGCTCCTGTTCCATTCCAGCAGAATCCCCACCCCAGCTCCCGGAGGCCTTGAGTAAGTCCCACATACCCACACTGCTTTTGCTGGGGTCCAGGAACTCCAGTGAGAAGGTCTTCCCAAAGCCAGGGACACGTACATCCACACCATCAGGAAACTGGGTGGCCCTGGATGTTTTGTTGTAAACCAGCCTGTCAGGAGAGGATATTGAGCCAGTGACCCAGAGGTGACACTGAGTTGGTGTGTCCTGACGCTGCATTGTGTCCTAAGTCATACTCCCTTCCCATGCCCAGGTTTGGTCAGATG